TAAGATCGGTATATATCATTTCTTAATACAGTATAGGTACGTATTTCATCACCTTTTATCGTTTTTCTATATTTTATAATTTAAATAGATCTTGAATGAACAAATCATATTCTTAAATAGGAAACGGAGGCTTTGATAAATTAGCAAATGTAAAATGATATTATATTAATATTATAGATTTATAGTAAATACACAGCTAAACAAATTAAATATATTATATATTTACTGAAAAGACATTTGTAAATACAGATAGATAATCCTTTTTCTGAACAATTTGTATAAATGATTGTGATTATGGTAAAAATTTATGATCATTCATAAATTTTATAAAAGAATTAAAGTTTTTAACAATCTCTCCTTCAATAAAACTAATGTTTAATTAGGAGTTAAAGGAATTGTTTGGTATATATAAATGTTTATAAATGTTTGATAATTATTTTTTTTTATACATAATCCTCTACATCTAGATCCATTACTACTAATCTTGTAGCCTCAACTGCTTTAAGATCCGCACATTTAGCATAAAGATCTGCGTCAATCGGAAATTTGTATCCACATGCTAGACTTTGAAATGTAATTACGCGTTTGATGATTGTAGCCGTAGTACGATGTTTTTGGAAATTAACAAGCGGTTGTTGAGGAAACGGTGTATAGGTATGGAACAATGATGGAGGTTGTGAAGCCGGATCAATAAATGACGGTAAGGCTGCGTTAAAAACTAAATCGGATAAATATAGAGCTATGGAAGAAAAAAAAAAGTGAGAAACACAACTAATAGAAAGAAATTCCTTTGTTGTTCTAAATTAATGTGTACCTAAAAAAGGAATGCACCCAGTATTTGCTTTTTTCACATCGGAGCCACGCCTTCGCCGTTTAGTTGGATCTTTTACCACGGAAGAGTCTTCTACAACTCGGCGCATAGCATCTCTCACCACCTTCCAATTGCCGAAAGGTGATATGTAATCATTTAGTTCCTTAAGAATACGTCTCTCTGCCATGCGAACACGAGTCCAAGTTCGACGAAGACGTTCTACCGGTGAAGATTGTAATCCAAGGAGAATTTGATTTAAAGTCGCAAAATTTGAAAGTTGTAGGCATTTCTTTTCGAAAATAAGAATCATAATACATTGTCAATAATCATGAACAAAACAAGTATGACTGAAAATGTTTTCAACTAAATGGTGTTTAATACGATATACAACCTGCGCAATACGTATGAACTTTTCAATCACTTTCACTCGATCTTCTAAAGAGTGTGTGAGCATAATTTCGGTAGCAACCCAATCAATTGTCTAAAAATGGTTTACGTGTTAATGAATTGTTTCTGACTTGTTGATTTTTCTATATAAGAACGATAATAATACGCACTTGATTAAATCTTTCAATGACCTTGTCTACTCCCCCATCTTTTATTGGCTTGACTTTAATCTTCTCTTCATCAATTTCAGATTCAAATTCTTTTCTTTTTCCTTTAACATCTTTTTTGGCCTCTTTTCGAATGTCTTGAATATTAGAATCTTTCTCAATGTCATTATTATTGTTTTTGTTTTTATTGCCATTAGTCCAGCTAACTTGAACCAACTCTTCCCACTGGACTTGCATAAGAAGATCTCTTTCAATTAAACAAAACTGTTTCGCAATTGCTTCTGATCTATACGACAGTATGAAAGATTTATATGGGTGTTGTCGAGAACTTGGATCTGTTGATGAAAAAGATGATGCTATTCGAGTTGGAACACTGGAAGATGAATGTAAATACAACTATCAACTGTTTATTTTATAAAACATTCTTACTTGGTCCTTGACTAACACTCGGTTCAGTGGTTGTGTGAATTGGTGTATGTTTTGGTCTTTTAGAACGTGAAATATTACTACCTCTATTGTTATTGGTGCCTTTTTCAAGAGCTATTGCTTCTGAAGAATTTTTAGGTGGTTTAGAGGTGGTGTGCCTAGTCCGTTGACGAGCCCCACTTTCTTGAGATCCATTTTTAGCAGGCCCTCTACGTCTTGACGTTGGTGCTGTTTTTGATGTTGATCGAGAAAGTGACATCATGGAATCAGGTGCAGAGTCTGCTGTTGCGCCACCGCCTTCAACTCCATAAGAAGAGAACGTTCCCCAGGAGACGCGCTTGCCGGACTTTTCATCTAAATCTTTGAGGTTGGTAACTGAACGTAAATCAGGTACTTTTGGAAGTCGACGAAGAGTACGAATATTATGGTGGTCACCTGATTCTTCTTCATATAAATCATCATATTCTTGTTCAAAAGATTGCTGAGGAGAAAAGTTTGGATCCGTGTCGACACCTTCCTCAACTTCCGAAACACTTGCAAGATAACTTTGTTTGCGAGCTGGTTGTTGTTCATCATCTTTTTGTGATCCATTTGACGAACTTTGTGACACAAAATAAGTGTCCGTCTCTGATGATTGAGTGGGTTGATCTACATCATCTTCAACTTCAATCACCGGAACTAAATTCCAAACTTTTGCCTTTCTACGAGTAGCACGGACTAATTGACGATTGTCTCTTGGCTCTTCATAATCCTGTATATCATCATCGTCGCTTTGCTTATCTTGGGAAAGGGTGGAAAATGTGGGGGGGTGCGAATCAATTGGTGATGATGTTAAACTCTCAAAATTAGTGTCATCGTGTGTACTTTGCTGTTCATCATACCACTGTTCAAATTGTTGCTCTGTTATCTCAGATTCTTCTGGATGAGACGTGTCGTAATATTCTTCTTCGACAGACTCATCAACGTAAGAAAATCCATCGAGATGAATATGGTATTCATCTCCATTAAAAAGTTTTGGGCTAGTGCCATCCCCCCAAGATAGGTCGGAGTCAATCTCTTCGGTGCTGGCTGAACCAGAAGATGTTGCACATAGCATACTAAGCCTGCCGAATCTCATTGTCCGAAAATCACCTTGAATACCACCACACTTTGTCGATGTTCCTGACTGAGTAGCACCTTTATTTTTCTCACCATTAAATAATCCTTTTGCGAATTTCCCTACTGTGATTGACATCTTTCGAGGCCATGAAGGACGTGCGGTGGGGCGACGCCAACTTTGTTCTTGAACTGGTGGTTGATTTCCAGTTCTTGAAGAATTTGAACCAATGAATGCAGGTGACGAATTTCTTCTTGTTATTCCACCTGCATGATCAATGTTAAAAAGATCAAACTCATCATTATCATCGTCATCATCATCTTCTATAATTCCGCAGATTGCTTCCGAAAAAGACATGCTTCTCTTCTTACGAGAACTAGGTAGCGAATAATCCACGATTTTTTCTTGCGGGGTAGCCTTTTTAGGTTTTTTCAAAGGAAAGTTGTTTTTTAAAAATCCACTTTTAAAAAATGAAGGTGATGCAGATGAAACATCAAGTGTATGCCTTCTGCGTCGTGGTGGAAGTGGTGGAGGTTCTTCTTCAGATAACGGATTTTCATTCTCATTTATTTCACTTCCTAATTGATTAAATATATCTAATCTTCTTTGTGATAAGTCACCCATTGAATTACTTCTTTTCTTCCATTTATCTGCTTTTCTCTCTGAATGTCGTAATAGATCTATTGGAACTGCCAACCGCTCTGGCATAGATGCACGTGGTGCTTTTCTGCTGCTCACACCGGCACCATCATCCTCATATTCATAAACATTATTGTCCGTATAAATGTCATCCCCTAATTCACTAGAACTAGTTGGTAAATTCTTTGACCACTTTTGACCGTATAACTCATCAATTTGGTCATGTGTGGCTTTAGAGGATAAATCTTCGTCACTAGTATGTGAATTACTACTACTAGAGTATATAATGTTCCGATGAGTTTCTTTACGAGTTACACCACTAATATTAGGTGTATAATATTCAATTGCTTCCGATTCGGAATCGGTTGTTCCTGGAGTAATTGTTGAGTCCAAAGATGAAGACGATGACTGATGTCTTAATAGATTTGATTGTTTTTGAGTTACTGTGTAATAATTACTGCTATCATATGAGACAGCAATATTCGCTGATTCTTCTATTAATGATGTACCTACACCACTACCACCCCCACTGTCGACCATTATTTTGTCCACGTCAAGATCTTGACCCTTCTGTGGTTCGGTCAATTTCTCATTGTTCTTTCCACCCAATTTTTTCGAGCCAATGCTAAATATATCATCTTTTTTTTTCACAAAGCTCATATCACTCTTCCGATAATACACTCTCTTTAACCTCCTTATAACCCTCTTTAATCCCTGTACTATCCTTTGATCACGTGGCGAATTTTTTACCAATTGATGTGAAGGAAGGCTATTTAGATATTTGGTCAGTGTGGTTCGTAGATCACGACATGGAATAAAATCATAAGCGAAATAATTTAAAAGCCAGTGACGTATAGTTACAAAAGTCCTATATAAAACAGAAAATAACCCACATTGGGCGTAATTAGGTCAAAAACATTCAACTATCAAATTATCTTCGTGCAAATACCGTACCTGACTCTTACAACCCTTCTCTCTTCATCGTCACCCTCAAGTGCCCAATCGAATCTTAAGATCAATAAGTTGCATAACTTTATTGGAGTGATAAATTTTCGATATGTTAAGAAAAAATCCGTCAAGAAGGTGTAATCTGTTTAGTAATTTTTAAAAAAGATGAATATACCAATACTTTTTCTACAATAATAATCAAGTAAACGATTGAAAATATTTAATTAACATACCAATTCCACTTGTTAATTTCTCAATTAATTTTTCAATTGTGGCCGCCATTATGACCTTTCCTGCTGATGATGATGATACAATTGAACTGTCGTTTTTTGAGCCTCTCCTTTGAGTGCGTAAAGTCTCATGAAAACTCCATCGTTTTGAAGTAGTAGTCGAAATCGAAAATGTGGAATCATGTTTTATTTCCTGAGCTCTGGATTTTGACCAAACGATAAGCCTAGGATCATCATCCGACTTTATTTGATCGAAAATTTCTTTACCGTAATTAGTTGAAATGAGTGGAGGTACCTCGGGCATTTGTAACGGTTTAGTCATCTGTCGCATTGCATCTGCCACTGAAAAGCTATGAGGTACATAAAACGTTGATTGCGTTTTGTAAAGATGTTGCCCTTTAGATTGTTGAATATCTCCCTCTTGGTCAATTGATGTATCAAATATTATCTCGCCACCATCTACCATATTGTCCTTTATCGATGAGCTACCAACTTGACCTGATATTTGAGTAACAGGCCCCTGACCGGGTTGAGCTGGCCAGTTAAGTATTCTAGCAAGCATGCGAAATTCTTGATCAGAACTAGGCATTGCAAAGGGGTCATAATGCTGCATCGAAGTTGGAAGGAGTATTTGAGAGTTCGGACGAGGTTTAATTGGGTCGCTATATTCCTTTGGTCTGTATGGAGTAGGAGCGGATAAACGGTGTTTACGCGATGTTCTATTGTCACTATCATACATAAATGGAAAATATATTACAATTTAGAATTTTGAAGATAGACGAATTCGAGGCTGATATCACGATCTACCAAAATGTATCCCATTTTGCGCATTAAAACCCCACATGGAATAATTCCCCATAAGAGATATTCATACTACTTAAAGATTAATCATCAAGATTTTGCTCGAACCTCTTAACAAAGCATATAATTACTATATAAGATTCTAGTAAAATTCGTTATTTAACCTTAATTGGACTTTGTGCAGTCAACAAAGATTAAGCCACCCAATGCCTCGAATTCGGAATCCAAAAAACTGACCAATAGACTTTGTTATACATTGATGACAGTGAATCTAAAGAGTCGAGAAAGGCATGTATAAATGTACTAAATATCGTTTTCTTGAGCATTTGATCTATTGATTTCAAATTGTCAATGATTTTCTACAAGATTTGCGATGAACAGGCGACTTTTCAACGATAATTGCATTCGTATACGTCATTCCTAGATCTCCAACTTCGAATCAAAAAAAAGTATTACCTCGTAGTAACAACATCTTCTAAGTTCATGAAAAGCTCACTGCTGCTTAATTGAGAACGCGATATCGATTCCTGATATTCATGAATATCAGTGTCGGAAGTAGACGTTATAGGGAATATACCGGAGGTCATACGTGACGCGGTGGCATTAATAATATTAGATAAAGGTGAGTCTGAGGCTTGTTCTGTCGTGTTTTGTGGAGTACTTGTTTCAAGAGGTTCATTAATATTTGATTCTTCGGTAATTCTGCGATTAGAACCGCCTATGTCAATATTAACGTTTATATCACTGCTATTGCTTCCCCCCGTGTTGTCCTCATTATTAGGCACGATATTATTGTCCATTGTCAAGAATTGCTATACTTTATTGTTTTCCAAGTTAATATGTGCATTAAAAAGGCAATTTCACCGAGACTTTCGGAAGTTTATGGCGTCTGGTTCGCGAATAATTTTGACGATTATAATTTTTTGCATAATAACCTAACAGCTAATATGATAATTTAACAAGCATATCATGAACTACAACCACGATTGGACAGATATATATATCAAAATTGATATAGCCTCGATTTTTGTTTAAACACAAAAGAGAAATATTAACTAACCTCCAGGGACGAGGGTATCCTGTTGATTACCAGTACAGATATTTATAAATTTAGACAAAGTTTGTCAGGTGTAAGCACGGAATGTACAAAAAAGTCAATTTTATCAGGTGTGTATACCTTTTTACAGGTAGTATGCTTATTATTCTAGGTGACATTCAAAGATTCCGTTTTCTGATATACACTCATTTATTTAAGCCCTATCAAAATACTTACGTACGTACGTACGTACGTATGTACGTACATACGTACATTGCTAAATAATAATTATTTTTAGTATAACGATGATGATACAGAATCTTGTATCAATATTCGAATTGAGTTTAACCAATACGATCTGTTTATATTTAATGAAGGTCGACCTGTTTATTAAAGAATTTCCATATGCAAATCGTAATAAATAGTGCAACTTACAATGAAAAGTCTTTTTGAAGACAAATCTTGTTTGATGGTATTTGACAATTGTAGAAATTCATAATTTATATTTTTATATAAGACACCAGTAATTAAGTACCGTACGTGCGTATGTATGTACGTCCGTATGTCTGTATGTATAAATTAAAATTTTAAACTTTGATACTATAACAAAATAGTAGAATTTAAATCATATTGATTATTCTAATTTCTAACGCTAAAAATTCACTAATCTAAATCGATTAATTTTAAAATTAAACATTAATTAAATATAAATTAATGTCGTGTGGATCATGATAAATTGGATTATCATAAAGTAGATAGTACAAATTTTACACAATAACGGAAATGATAAATATATACACATACACGATTCTTTTATATTGATATACGTATAAAGACTAGCTCCGTACTTTCTTTACCAAGATTCAAAGTTTTATTTATTTGGTATTTTCTAACCAGATACAACTTTTTGAAGTATAGTCAAACCTTTTGTGTATTTAGAAAGGGTGTGTATAGAATTAATATTTTATTACATGGGTTTTGGGTATTCTTATTTGAAAATTATTTTCATACCCCATAATTTTGTCTATTAATATGTAACTAAATTATGCGAGATATTTATCCCCCGTGGGATCACAGCAGAATTCGTTAAATTTATTTAGGGTAGGGTTAAGGTTTGTGTTATGGTTAGGGTTTAGTGATATAGATAGTAAAATTGCTCAAGAAAATTGTTTTGTTAGAGCACGAAAGGTAGTTTTTATGTAAATTTTCGAGAAAAGCGAGTTTTGAAAAGACGAACATTTGTTTTGATCCTCGTGAGTGTGTGACGTTATACTAAATTCCGACACACTAATGGGAGATACAATTACAAAATTACAAAATGGGTGCTTTTAGCTCCGATGATCTCTGGCCTAAATAGCCAATTAAAATACAGTCGACTCTGGATATACCGAACTGCATATTCTGGGAGGTTTTGTTCGGTATAGAGTGGGTTCGTTATATAGTTTATTTTTTCTATACCGAACAGTTCGGTATACAGAGCTAACCAATGAAATCATGTGTATGATCACAACATCTTCAGAACTTCACTCGAAAATTTTGCTCCAGCTCGGAAGCTTTAGGAATCGGGATTATATACAAACAAGTAGTTCGTTATATCGAAATATGCGTACATAGTCTTGGGCTGGTAAAGAAGAGTTCGGATGCGGTATATAAAAATTTACTATATAAGTTCGGTATAGGCAGCCTAAATTCTTATAAAAAATCGGTTCTGCCAAATCTGGTTCGATATAGCCCGAGTTCGGTATAAACAGGTTCGGTATATACAGAGTTGACTGTACATGATTTACGTTTTCGTGGCGGATCAGTCCGACGAGACCAAAACAGAAAAAAATTAAAAAAACACGAAAAATACAATCAAAAAATATTAAGGTAATTTTACTTATAATATTTGCCCTCAACCCAAACGTTAACCCAATCAAAATCGTTTAGCCAAATAATATTTTTGACTAAAGATGTATAAGCTAGGCATCTTTGGTAGGGTTGTTAATGGAGTACTCAAAATTCTGTGCCAGGTTTTGTCGATCATTGTGGCGCAGATCTCTAAACTACAAATCAGATTTCATGAATCAGGTGTAACATAACACAAACGTTCGTTTTGCTAAAAAACTACCTTTAGTGCTCTAACAAAAAGTTTTCCTTGAGCGATTTTACTATATAATTTTTTAATCTCTGACTCTAACATTTTGAGCTTTAAAAATTTTGACTGCGTCCAATGATCGACAAATCCTGGCACAAAATTTGTTCATGCGTACTCCGGACTATAATAAAACATATAACCCGCTCTGGAGTAGGTTATATGTTTTATTATTGACTGGAGTATTCCATTAACAACCCTAATCTTTGGTGAAAGATACTTATATAATTTTTTTTACAATATTGAAAAAAACTTTTGTTTTTTTTTTTTTTTTTTTTTTTTTTTTGATGTTAAGGTGGTCTCTTGGCTGGCTCCTTTTATTTGGTTATAGTTAACTTTTTACAATATGCGTTTATAGCATCTCATATACATATTTGGAGAGTACATACTAGTCACACGTACAACTTTTGGTTG